TACTTTTATGCTGAATTTATTTTCAATAAAGTTTTAGTAGAACTTAGAACTTTGAAGTGACTTGTTTTATGGTGTGTCTGCCTCCCGTGTTTAACGTGGTTTTTTCCCTGACAATGGACAGGCAAGTGAACAACTCTCATCATTACCCTCAGCTGCCTCGAAGGAAGAGATGAGATAGCAAGTTTTCTATCAACCTGGCTAAAATCACTGGTTGGTTCATCTTGTCCCAGAATTATCTGCATCAACAGCTGTAACATCTAGCTACATTAAAGGGACAGGCGCAAATAGAAAATTCCCTCCTCAGCCTAGCTAGGATCAACTGTCACTTGGCTTTGCTCCTCACAGAATGGTCCCATACAGGTGCCATGGTGTATTATTTTTCATTTATTTTCCTCTGTGTTCTCTTTTCGTATCACTTGATTTTAACTTATGACCCAACTTAAGAGCTCTGACAGGAAGTTAGTATATAAATACTGCAAAGAAATAAATAATCTGGCCAACGTAACAGCAATTTTTCAAATCTTCTTTAAATTACAGGATGCTATATTAGAGACTATATTGTAGAAAATTACACTAGAGCTAACAGGAGGACCCAGCTGATTTTGGCCTCCCTCAAAAATAACTAAGCAGGAATGGACCTAGTTAGATATAGGATGAGAGATGAGCAGCAAATTCTAGGGGGTATAAACTGAACCAGGAAGCTGAAAAATGACGATGACAAACCATTTCATTTTATTGCCAAGAGAACAACATGGATATATCTATGTAGGTGAACTTGACTTACATTAGAAACTTACAACCTGATCCTATGAAGATACTCAGAAGTAAATTCCAATTTTTTAAAGGAAGTTACCAAATAAGTATACATAGCTCTGAAATCTTAGCCATGTAAATTGAGTACCATGCCTTCTTCTGGTAGATGGGGGATCAGTAGTCCAGGAAGCCTATCTTATAGGACAGGCTGAATATTTGAATGAATAGTTATTGTTTTCAAAGCTTGCAAAGCAAAAAGTTATATAAGAGGATTAATTAACTGTTCTATAACAAAGTTTGAGTATTGCGAGGAAAATATATTCTGTTGCCTTAAAATACTTAGTTACTTTACATTTTTACCTGTTCACCAAATCCTGTAGCTTTTGCATCGGTTCCGGTTCCCCATCTCTACCGCAGGTCAAGATTTCCCGGCCATCATAAACTCTGATTATGCGATCAGCAGTATTTATGAGAAAGCAACTGGAAGACAGAAATATATTAAAGTATGCTGCAATGATACTAGGTTTTCAAAATGCATTGCTGAACCACTTACTTTTGAATTACTTTTACAAGTAATCCTCACTTGACCACTCGTTCAGCGACCATTTGAAATTATGACAGCACTGAACAAGTGGAACTTATGGCTAGTCCTCAAAGTTCTGGCTGTTGCAGCATCCCCGCAATCACATGACTGCAATTTGGGCACCTGGTGACCGGCACACAATTATAATGGTTGCAGCTTCCCATGGTCACATGATCACAATTTGCAACCTTCACTGCAGGCTTCCCACAAGCAAAATCAATGGGGAAGCCAGCAGGAAGTCACAAGTCGTGGTCACATCACGTCTCATTTAATGACCATGTGCAATACACTTAATGACCACAACTGCCATTGTAAATCAGCATGGTTATGTGATTTTCTGCTTTATGACTGCATCACTTAGCAACAGAGTTGCCAGTCCCAGTTACCATCATTAAGCGAGGGCTACCTATATGCTGTGTAAGCAGCATAAATAATATGTAAGCCAGAAAGACTTCCTTTAGATGCACCCAAAGACTTGGGTGCAGCAGACTTTAGCTTTTGAAGGCAGCTTTCTATGTCATGGTATAAGCTACTTTTGAAACCTCTTCAGTTTCAAAAACAAATTACCATGTGACATAGGAACTACACTAAAACTTCTTCAAGGCAAGTACAATTACATTTAGATGTTTTGTTTGTTTGTTTGTTTAGCTTTCAATCGTAGTATTTAACTAACCATGTCCTTTTTTCATGACAGCTGCTCCTTAAATTAGCTAATGTTCAGGTATCTGCTTCATTCCAAATACTTGGTGATTTTTTAACACTTTCAGAAACCACAAGGGTCACTAAGCCAAACTCCTAATTAGCCTGAATGCTATATGAACAAACTTGGCTTAAGATCACTCATCTGCTGCAAGACTAAGATTAAAAAAAAACCCTTTATCTAAAAGCAGTTATCAAACATTTCCAGTGCCAAAAGAAAGTCATTCTGAAGGGCAAGCCCAAGTATTAATCCACAGATAAAGATGGGCATTTGGCAACTCTAGTGAATTTAACTAGTGCGCTTTAGCTGCATTTGGTACCAATCAGGACATCTGGGGAACTGATATAGCTAACTGGGGAAGGAGCACAGCTCTGTACAATACATCCTTTATCAGAAGAAACCTTCACGTTCAAGCCCCTGTTAAAAGATGAGGAACCAAGGGATGGGAAAGACTACTGCATGAGCTTGATCAGAGTGAACAATATCAGCCTAGACAAATAAGTCAGATTTGGCATACTGGGCAATTTGCTATGTTTTTCTGGTAAATCCAGATATTCTCATAAAGGCCTTCCATTTTACCCCATTTTATTGAAATGAACTTTTATCTCATCCTTGCAGAACACTCACAGAATGTGTATTGAGAGGAACAGGATTACATTCACTAGCTTCACTCCAAATCACGAGTGGGAGGAATTTACAGTTCCCTACACAAATAGTACTTGGGGAAAAAAGTACAACTCAGCTTTTCACCATTATGCTTTCAGTGAATAAATTTTGAAGATCTGACTGACTTCAACTCACCTCCCTTTTCGAGCAAATTCTATAGATTTAATAGCTGTAGTGTTGCTTGTTCCTGTTGTCACTCTGAAGGAAGCAACAAGATCCTGAGTGTCTGTCTTTAACACCAAGATCTAAAACAGCAAGAAATAAGTAATTAATTTGTTTTTCGGTGTACAATCTTTTTGTGTAAAACTTGTAAGAAAAATCAGTGAAGTGTGCTTGCAACCCAACTGTATACCCTTACAATTCTAATCTCCTCCATAACTTATGAAATAGTAAGCAAGGGTCTTAAAGATGTCCTTGTATGTTATCAATTAAAAATGAGACATTTTACATTTAAGATGCAGTATTACAGTAGGTATTAGAACTCAACCTATGCTGCCAACAGTATAAATTTCATTTTGTATAGTGGTATCTTTCCAAATGAGAATAGCTCCATTAAGAAATATTTTACAAAGCTACTATATGAAATATTTTTAGTCCAAAAAGGAAAAAATACATTATGTAGGCAAATATTTTAATTGCATAAAAGAACAGAAGTTAATTAGAATAAATATTAGAATGAATTAGAAAGCAGACCAATCAGAGAACATCTAAATGGATTTTTTTAAACACTTTTAATTGTGAAAATAAAGGCATAAGTAATTGAGGGAACTGAATTCACAACTAAAACTGGAAAGGAAGATGGGTACTAACCTAGATCCATGAGAAGGCTACCAAGGGAATTTCTCATATTTACAACCAGGCTGAATGTAGCAAAGCATCACATCTCAGTTATCTTTTTTTTTTAAATATGATTTTTATTGAAGAAATGTTTAACACAGTAAAAACCATAAAAGAAAATAAAGATAATAAAGAAAAATAGTAAATAGTGAAAATAGAAAATAGAAAATAGAAAAGAAAAATAGAAAAGAAAAAGAAAAAAAGAAAAAAAATACTATAAAGAAGCGGCTTCTGATCTTCTTGACAGTGGTTATAACATTTATAACAAAAATGCATTAATATTTTGCCCTCTCTCTCTAAAGTTACATCATTATTTCCTTCTTTCCATAAGCTACCCTTTCTAATCTTCAAGCCCATAAATCACAAATTCATTTTTCTCTTTTTTCAGCCAAAGCTCCATAAGGGGCTTCTAGTCACTGATAAATGTAGTTGTTGATCTTTTTCTAATCAAACGAGTTAATTTTGCCATCTTGAAGTAGTGTGTGCGTTTTTAAAAGGTTTTTAAAAAGTACAGTGGTTTTCAGCACTTCCTGAAAGCATTGCGCAGCTTCAGCAGTTCCTCGCCTCAAGGAATGAGACCACCCAGCATTTTGAGTCGTGTCATGTTCCCATTTTCCCCTATTTACCATGTCTTCAAAGCGAAACTGCTGGCAATGCATCAAAGAAAAGAAAAATGATCACCATTGAAAATAAAGGTGAAATAATAAAGTGTCCAGAACGAGGTGAAACTCCATCAGAGATTGGAAAAGTGTTAGGCTAGGCGATAAGTTATTATTAAGCAACGCAGTGGTTTAATCATTGAAATGGAAAGGCTATTGATAATTTGGTTAGAGGATCAAAATCAGCATCATACGCCTATTAGCCCTGCTTTAGTGAAAGAAAAGGCTCGAAGCCTTTTCAGTGACTTACTTAAAAGCTGCATGTGTAGCAACTGAGGGTGATTTTGATGAAGAATTTGTTGTGAGTAGGGTCTGGTTCAATCATTAACATTAACATTAAAGTGCAAGGTGAAGCAGCAAGTGCTGATGTAAGTGCTGCGCATGATTTTCCCATGTTTATTGAGAAGGGAGGTTATTTGCAACCAAATATTTAATGTAGATGAGACTGGCTTATTTTGGAAAAAAATGCCTGAAAGGACCTACATTGCAAAAGAGGAGAAAAGTGCACCAGAGCATAAGGCAGTGAAGGATAGGCTAACATTGCTGCTTGGTGGTAATGCATCAGGGGATTTCAAGCTCAAGCCTTTGCTTGTTTATTATTCCCTAAATCTGAGGGCACTTCACCATACCACTAAAGCATCTCTTCCGGCTATTTGGATGGCAAATGCAAAGGCTTGGGTTACAAGTGCCATTCTTCAAGACTGGTTCCTGAACTATTTTATCCCTGCTGTTCAACATTATTGCTTGGCCAAGCAAATTCCGTTCCAGATTCTCCTTGTGCTTGGCAACACACCTGGACATTCAGGTACTTTAGATGACCTTCACCTCAATGTAAAGATGGTATTGTTACTCCCCAACACCACATTGTTAATTCAGCCAATGGATCAGGGATTCATAGCTTCCTTTAAGGACTATTATTTATGGTGCACCTTCTCACAAGCAGTCAGGGCTACCCAAGATGATGTGATGAGCTTAACAGACTTCTGGAGGAATTATAACATCTATGATGCCATCAGAAATATTGCTGATTCTTGGGATGAAGTGAAGCAGCCAAATATGAAAGGAGTATAGAAGAAATTGTGCCCCCAGTTCAGGCATGCTTCTCAGGAAATTACAGCTAATGACATTGTGGAAGCCAGGCAAACTATGATTGATCTTGGTAATCAATTGCAGTTAGACATCAGTGAAAATGATGTCATACAGTTAAGACTCCCATGCCAAAGAACTGAGTAATGAAAACCTTATGGAACTAGGTCAGCAGGTGGTAGCATTTGAGGAAGAAGACTGGGACCTACAAACTCCAGAACCAAAAACGTTTGTGACAAAAGACTTAGCTGAAGCCTTTCATCTCACTGAAGCAAGAATGGCAAAGTTAGAGGAGCAAGATCCTAGTACAGAGAGGTTCACCAAAATGAACTGCAGAGTTATTGAGGGCTTCAGCTGCTACAGGGCTATTTATGATAAGAAAAAGAAAAGCTGTGTACAAACCTCCTTTGATGCCTACTTCAAGAAATTGATTCCAGAAGCAAACCCCCCATCTCCAGCACCAGAATCAAACCCTGAATCTCCAGCACCAGGTCCATCCTCTGGAATACCAGGTCCATCATCCTGAACAGTAGCCATGTACTGTTAACCTTCAATCATGATATTTTTTCTCTGTCTAAACTGTTTTAAGAACTGTTTCTTTTATTACTTCGATATTATTGAAACTATTATTATTATTTATTGTGTTACTATGTTTAAATGGTGCAGTGTATTTGGAAGTGTTTCTTAAGTGTTTTATATGCATACAAAGGTGAAATAAATACTACATACTAAGACAAACATTTGACTAAATAAGTTGTTCTGGCTTACATACAAATTTGACTTAAGGACAAACCTTGGGAACAGAACTTGTTCTTAACCTGGGGATTGCCCATATAAAAATAATCTTCCATGGCTCTTTTCTAATTGGCTGTCCATTAACCTCAGCAAGAAAAGTTCTAGTTTCAACTGAATGTTGATCTTTAAAATTCTTTATATCATTATACATATTTGAACTCAGAAATTTCTGGCTTTTTTACAAGTCCACCAGGCATGATAAAATGGCCTTTGATGTTGTCCAATCTCAGTTATCTTTAATATTCACAAGTTAACAAGTATCCTCACTTCTGACTAAGCTGGAATTTTTTTCTTCACTAGTGTATTACACTTTACATTATAATATCCACTGGTATAAGCTTTAAGCATCATCAAACTGAAATAAATTTTGTTCAGAAGCATGGAATTTAATATGCCTTAAATCTATGGGAGGTGGGGTGATACCCAAATAGCAATAAGGCACTTCTCTAAGACACTGTTCTTATGTACATATGTATCTCTATATTCTCTTTCACAGGGTGCAATTCAATATTAAAAGTGTAACTGAACAGGCCAAATATGAATAGATTATCCAATCTACTTTCAATTCTGCTTGTTTTATACAGGTTTAGTATTTCCTATCTGATAAGAGAAAATGAGGGTGGGTGGGAGGAACCTAATCACTAGATAGTCAGTATTCTGTCAAAGCCAGTAAATAATACCATTCACTAGTTTGGAAACAACTGGTTTCAAACAATTGGAGTAACATTTCATATATATTTGTTCCTTACGATAGTTTAAGAGGACTGTTCTATATTTGGTCCAGAAGTGCAAGAGATCTTGATCTAATATATAACAAAGTGAAGATGGATCCTTGCTTGGAAATGATCTTTCTACTTTATAACAGTAACCTGACACTGTATCTTTTCTCAATGTTATTAGGCAGGCAGGCAGGCAGGCAGGCAGGCTGGGTGGGTGGCTAGCTGGCTTTCTTTCTTTTTCTTATTTTAAATACAACCGGTGCATATATTTTCCTGTGAAAGCCTGAAGACTATAGAAGCAAGAATTCTCTGACTCCATGCCTGGGCTAAAGGACCAAAATCAACAAATGCTAGTCATGCAACATCAGTAAAGCAAGCTACAGCCTCTTGGATGGATCTTCTGAAGAGGAGCAGGACCTAGACAATGCAAACCTGAACTTAAAAGTCTACACCCTAAGACCAAAATTACTCCTTACTCTGATCCCAAACATATAATTGACTGTTCAGCCCATGAGAACATATGATGACAGCAGATCAAGAATCAAAGGACAGAAAGGCAAAGGACTGCCAGATTGCTCAAAAAGCAAATTGAATGTAATGGTCAATTTTGGAAGTAGGCTATTGCTCCTGATTAGAATAGCTCTATCAGCTTTAAGCATAAGATCCTCTGTGTAAAGTGCTAAAATTATTTCAGTTAACAGTCTGATCTTGTATCTTCTGTGGCTTGACTCTAAGTCATACCTGACTTTCTGCAAATCCTGACTACTATCTGACATCACCATACTTACTATCCCTTGAATTCTTGAACTGCTGATATACATATCCGTTTGGACCAGACTGTGATTGTACCTTCATTTAATAGTTCTACTATACAGGCCTCTAGTAACACTGAACAGACTGATTGTTCTGAGAATTCTCTGGAACAAGACAAATCAGCCCAACCTAAACCAGATATAAATGTTCATGCACTACTGAAATATGCATCTGAAATCCTTGATCAACGTAGTAGGGTAATGTAGATTTCCTGGCATGTGACCTATTATTCATGACTCTGTAGTATCTCTCTGAGCAATAAAATATTCATTGCATGACATCTAGCTGACATACTGCAAACAGAACAGTCCTTCAAACAAACTGATGAATAGCCTGGCCAAACACATGTAATGATTATATACCACCAACTGAGTGCTAACTCTTAGTGACCGAGATAGATCTGTCCCCAACCTGGCCCTTCAGGTCTTCCAGTGGTGCACCCATCACTGCTATAATTAAGTCCAGCCACCTTGCTGCTTTTTGTCCCCTTCTTCTCTTTCCTTCTGCCTTTCCCAGCATTACAGACTTCTCCAGAGAGCTAGATCTATGCATAATGTGTCCGAATATGATCATTTGAGCCTTGTCTGTGATTAGTGAGAAGCTCCACTGAGTTCAATGGGATTTAACCTGAGATAAGTGAGCAAGGACTGCATCGTTATACTGCAAACCTATTTTTATTTACCAGGCAGCAAATCCTATACACTTCCATGGGGTTTACCTATGAGACAGGTTTAAGTTATAAAGCAATTATTCACAAAGTATTAATCTGATTTACACAGTTGAAACAAAAATAAACTATTCTGTACTGAGTCATACACAGCAGATAGTTAAGTCTGTCACCCACTGAAAAAACAATATAACTATTTCTCACCTTTCCTTTAGCATTCCCTGTATAGATATATTCCCCGCGCCGATCAAAAGAAGCCACCACATTGAGATCAGAATCATCATCCACTGGTAGGACAACATGTTTTGAATCAGACAACGTTAGCATTACTGGGGCAGATTTCATTGGACATACTAATACTCTGTTTCTAAAGAAGCAAAAAAACAAGAAAAATCCTCAAACATCAAGCAATGCAACATCAAAAACATGCAAACAACAAGGGAAGTATGCTTTTTTCCCTTGAAAAAAAATGAACTGTATTTTGTACTCATATGCAAGCATAAGCAGATTTAATAAATTAATTTAGTATCATTCATATTCTAAATTGGATCCAGCAGCTAATACAACCCTTAGATGTGGTAAATACTGTATGTTTTTGCTTCCCTATATCCACTACTTATTCATTCATTTCACTTTTATTCCATATGTCATCCAGGAACCCAATAAAGCAAAGGGATAAAAATGACTTTCTCTAAAGAGGAAAGTTTCTGAATAATCTTTCAAGTCAGTCTCCCATGAAATGTATTAGTGATTATTCAACAGAATAATGGCCCAGTGAAGGCATTTGTTACAATCTTGCTAGGGGATGAAAAGAATGAGAAGTGGAACCAGAAGTATCAAATGACAGCACTCCTATCACCGGTGACTCCAGCAATATTGGAACCAGTGATCCCACTCTTACACAAACTCAGCAAGTTCACAGGATCCTTTACCTGTATCTATTGACAGTAACTCAGAATCAGAAGTTTAGCTATTGAGTTTTTAGACAGAAGTGCTTAATAATGATCCAGAACTAGGGACTAAACTTTGCAGATCTGAGACACTAGCCAAAAGGCATGTAAGTGCTAACAGGAGAGCAAACTCTGCAGCTACTCTTTAATGAGTCTATGCTGGGCACTGCGTGGAGGTTCAGCATGGTTTATTTAGTGTGCTCAGACCCTTTGGACACTGCTGAGAACAATTTATCAAGAACTCAGCTCTTGCTTGTGAATATCCTGCACTGTTGCATGTTGGATTTTCTCTAATCTTGTCTCTTGCTTCTTCTGTGGATTTACTGCCTGATAGCTTACCAGTTTCAATCCCTGTTTTTCTGTTTGACCATGAGTTTGACCTCAAAGATACTGCAAAAGGATTTTTTTCAAAGGCTGTATTATTACAGGTAGCTGTTGTTGAGCCTGACCCTACTTATCTCAGGCCTGTGGCAGATTCTGAGCCTGCTAATTTGCCTCTTGGCAACTTGGCATGCCAGCACAGAAAACATCACCATCACCACCACTACCATCATCATCTACTCAGCTTGTGCAAGAAGATCGCACAAACTGACTATAAACAACAACATAACACAGTCACCAAAATGATTCACTGGAACATCTG